ATTTTGAAATATCAAAGGATACCAGGTCTTAAGAAACCCCTAAGAACTTACTAACTCGAGTCAAAAAGTTGCAGACGTGAAGCAATGAGTTAACAAGTGCAATGCTATTTCTTTAAAAAGAAAGAAAAATGATCAAAGGGATAGATTCCTAGCATATGGTCATCACTTAGTTCATATTTGAAAGTTGAATACACTCCACACAATATTTTTTTTAGCATGCATGGAATTACCACAATCNAGTGACATAAATATCATGAGTGTAAAACACACATCAAATACCCCCAAACTTAGTATTTTGCTCGTCCCCAAGCAAACACAAAACTCTAGAAAATAACTAACGGACATTCAAACAAAAACTAAATCAAACAAAATCACTTAAACAAATTCCACTAAATATCTTACCTTCATAGCGCAGGATTGAAAACATAATATCAATTTCATGAATCACTTCAAAATTATAATGCCCAAGCTAAATTCTCACATATTCAATGCAAAACGAGTGTGTATGTGGAGAGTTAAGTGCAACGCTGTACAATAATAAGTTGATACAATTCCCGACCTTAAAAGTCAAATATTTCCTTACTTCACTCGTGAGATTTATACACCTCCAAACTTGTTTTCTTTCACTTCCCAAGGTGTATTCTAAAGTTAATTTTCAATGTTAAATTCTTAGACCACTCAACGTTGGTTCATTTTAACCGGCAATGTCAATAATTCAAGTCATGTGATAATTCTCCCAATTTATGAGTGCTTCAATAATCAAACTTATACTAAGTAATTCAAACCTACTAGATATCTAAGTCTTCAACATTTTTTCATAATTGCACAATTTTTTTCGCTTATTTTGACAGTCTTTTTTATTCAGCTCAAGATTGACCCCATCCTTTCTTTCTCTTCTGGACCCCTGTAGCGAGCTTTTAATCGGTAACTCTCCAATTTTGAAATATCAAAGGATACCAGGTCTTAAGAAACCTCTAAGAACTTACTAACTCGAGTCAAAAAGTTGCAGACGTGAAGCAATGAGTTAACAAGTGCAATGCTATTTCTTTAAAAAGAAAGAAAAATGATCAAAGGGATAGATTCCTAGCATATGGTCATCACTTAGTTCATATTTGAAAGTTGAATACACTCCACACAATATTTTTTTTAGCATGCATGGAATTACCACAATCCTAAATCATATCATTTACCAGCTTGAACGCCACAAATTATATTATACAAGGTTAAGGATATAGTGAATATTTGGTTTTGGGATTGATTGTCTAAGTTCTCTATTTCAACCTATAAACATGAATCAACATACTCATGTACAACACCACAATCAACTCACATGCATAAATACTTTACGTTCTGCATGAATAAGCAAAAAATTTAACTAAAATACATAACATATTCATGATCCATAAACTAACACAAGTCCTCAATAATATATCATTGCCGACAAGACTATCTGACTCACACAAGCATGCAAAATAAGTAAATTCTCTTTTTTTCTTTAAAAAAAACACGCACACAAATCATACAAACTAAAAATATTAGGCAATTAAACAATTTATAATACACCCCCAAACTTAAATTGAACATTGTCCCCAATGTAAAATTAAAGAAAAGTGAGGAAGACGCTGCATTGCCTATGACATGTTGGTGCTTATGAAGTTATGATGCTGGATTTAATGGATGCTGCTTCTATCTTCTCTCACAATCTTGAGATTTATCTCGTTTTATCCTTATCAATGTTGGTTTGAATGTTTCGCGATGTCATGTTCCTGAAAATCAAATTGTAGATATTAAATAAATGGAACATGTGTTACTTAGCTCAAACATATAATAACCAACTTAACTACTCAAGGACCTAGGAGAAGACGAGATATGGATGATGATTCCTAGATAAACTGTAAAATAAACTAAAACTATCTTATAACTCGAAAGCAAAATAAATAAAAGGGAAGAAAGATTGGGCTGCCTCTCAAGAAGCGCTCATTTAACTTCATTAGCTTGACATAACCGAAGTGTCTACGTTGGATCTTCAGGTGACACTTCTCTCTTCTTTCTAAACTTTACCTAGAGGTGTCAATTCGGGTGGGCCGGACCGGGTCGGCCCGCCAACATATGAGCCCGGTAACGGCCCCGTGAAAAAAAACCCGCCCGCTACGGGTTCCGGGCCAGTTTCGGGTCGGCCTACAAATTTTGGACTACAACCCAGGTCCGCCCGCTGACCCATTCAGGTCGAGTCCATACGGGGTCGCGGTTCGCGGGTCACGGGTCCCGGGTTGTTCCAAGAATTTTTTATATTGATAGCAAATTTGCTTTTTTTTTTGTTAAATGTAAATTAAGAATTGAACAAAATCATAAATTCATATTTATACCAAAAAATGTTTACACAGAATTCAAATTTAATAATTGAAATTTAACAACTAAATGCATTTCTAATTACGTGAAGGTATATATTTATAGCAAAGTGTATCCCAACTAGGTTGGCACCTACTTTTACTATAATTTATAATTTAAGTACATCTCAACTAGCTTGTCACCTACTTAAGTCTTAAGTTTTAACTATAATTTAGTTGTTGAAAAATTATATATTTGTTTCTCAATCAATCTTCATGAACTGTAAGATTTTTGAAATCTTCAGCAACATCATCATTAAATTTATCTTGCATCCTGCGATCCGCGAATATCAAATCTTTCACGCATATGAGAACTTCCAAAATATCTTCTTTAAGTCTAGATACCTGCACTAAAAGCAGACTCGGATGCCACTGTTGAAACTGAAACTGTTAGTATATCTCGTGTCATTTTAGATAATATAGGGTATGACCGCTCATTTAATTTCCACCATCGTAAAATGTCTAACTTATTCACTTCATCTTCAAGTATTAAACTATAATGATCGAATTGATAATATATTTCTAATTCAGCAGGTGTGATATGTGGATTTGCAGTTGAAGTTGAAGTAGTAGATGAAGAACCAAGAACATTACGTTTCTTAGCTATTATGGAGAAAAAGGAAGATTTGCCTTTAGAAGTTGTACTAGAGATTGGAGAAGAAGACATATTTTCATTGTTACCATATTTAATAAAATAGTTGTTATACATTTCATTAATAAAAATTTCCAATTGTCGATTTGTAATATTTATGTTAAAAGCCAATGTTTCAGAAAGTGATT